ACACGAGAATGAATAGTGGAAGGAGGGACACAGTGAGTGCTCCGTCAGTGGGACAGATAAGAGGTGCTGGGGAAGTCCTCCCTGTGACCTGCATGACTCGGGTCAGGCTGCCACTTATTCTTAAAGAGGCAAGAGAGAATTGGAATAGGTGAGGAGTGGCTGTTCCAGGTATATTAAAGGGCCAAAGATGTGCATGGAAAAATTCCATTTGACTCGGGCGGGTGGGAGAGTGTGGCAAGGTTGGGGGCGAAGTAGGCTTATGCTTGAGGACAGTAGGAAATGAGACCCAGCCAGTCAGTGTCTTTAGAATGAAGTGTTTCCTCTTTCGGACCATAGCAATGTCATTGAAAGATTGTAATCAAAAACTGTGCTTCAGGAGATGGTTCATCTGACTGTCACATGCAGAAGGAGGTGGCAGTAACTGGCAAAAGTAAGATCAACTAAAAACCTCTGGACATGTTTTATATGAGTCCCAAAGTAGGGTGGTAGCAATGAACTTGAAATAAAGCACAGAAGAGACACTGGCAATTGAGTACAAAGAGGGTGAGTCAAAGAGCCTGAGTCACTGAATTTCACGAGGGCTTTGGATTCCTAACAAATATGCTGCTTAAACTTCCAAAGGTAAAATCATAGGTCCATGTAGTGAGTGAATAAGTTAGTGCTTAACACAAAAGCACCATGTTTAAAGTTTTAAACACGAAAGTTTTACTTTCATGTTTAAAGTTTGAGTACAAGCAGCTGTGAGGTGCACGAACACACATGCCCCACGCTTCTTCCCACATGGGCATGTTTGCAAGTCCATCTAAGGATGGAGGGTGGACATATTTGCAGGGCCTGTACCAGGTGCCAGGCCCTTGGCCATTTGCCAGGGATACAGAGATAAAAGAGAGCCTGTGCCTCTGAGGGAGGGAGCTTGCCAGCGAGATCCTTCCTACAGAGTCAGCCCTGCCCTCAACGACCACACGAGGCAGCTGACCTCCCTGCTGTGTCTCCACATCAGTGTGTGCTCCTGCTCTCTCCAGCCTTGTCCATGCATCTGTGTAAGAGACCTTCTCACCTGAGTGTGCCCAGAGATCTCCTTCACAACATCTGCAACACTGGACACCACCCCCTTTCCCTGGACACAACTCCTCCTCGCACAAAGACCCATCTTGGAGAATGGCGGAAACATGGGGAGCTCTTCTTGGGTTGTCCCACTGCTGCCCCACTCCCCACATTATCTACCTTTAATTTCTGTTGACTCAACTTCCTGGATAACTCTCTCACCCAGCCACCTCCTGCCATCTCCACAGTCACCTCTTCGGGGCATGCTACCACCATCTGTTGCTGCCAAAACTTCCTAAGTGGCCTCCTGGCATGCAACCCTCCCCTCCACTGCCCACACACCAGCCAGTGTGACCTTTCTAAAATGAATATAGGCTGAGTGGCTTATCTGCTTAAAACCCTTTAATGGTTTCCTGTTGCTGTTCGAATAAAGTGCAAATCCCTTAATATGCATTGCAAAGCCCTTTATGGCCTGAATCCTGCCCGTCTTCCCATCCTCACTTGGCTGGGTCTCCTCTCTAAGCACCAGCCACACAAAATGGTCCTTTCAGTTCCTCTAATGGTCCATGCTCTGACCCTTTCTTTCTGGCCTCTACATACCCTATTCTGCCTGCCAGAAACATTTTTCCCCTTCCCAGCAAATTCCCACGCCGAAAAAGGATTATCTGGAGCTGCAAGGACAGACACGCATTAATAACGATCATCACTCCACATTGCATGTGTACCACCCTCTGCATTAATATGAGTTTCAGCTGTATCCCTGTAACTGAAGTATAGTATAGATTCAATATTTCGCATATAAAATTCTGAAGAATAGACTGAACTTTGGGCAACAGAACCATCTTGGAATATCATGGCTTTATATAAATCCCATTTTGTGGTGTGGGACATTTAGATCCTGGCCTTGCCTCATCTGGGACAAGGGATTATGGGGTTAGTTCCAAAGCTCATGAGTCAGCAGGTGTTGTAGGCACAGGTTACGCAGTGAGTTGGATATTTAGTCCAGTGTGCTGGAGGGAGGTGTTCTGCTAAAGGTTCATCATGGAGTTTTCTTATGCCTGTTCAGTGAGGAGGTAACAGAAACAAAACACACACACACACACACACACACACACACACACACACACAACACACATTGCCTCCGTGCTACTCAGAAGTGTAAATAACCTTTGAGGCTTCCAGAAGCAGCTTCCTCTCTTGAAGGAAGGAGGAGCAGCGAGTCCTCTACTTATCCTTCCCTCCCTTAGGACGTATTTTCCAAGAACAGGGTGTAATCAGGCCCTCTGTCAGGGTTAAATAAGAACTGAGCCTAACCCATAAGGAAGAACAAGAGAAGCAGTTCTGGATTCAAAATGGACGTGGATACCGAGACCAGTCCGAGCCCAGCACTCCCGGGGCAAGTGGGTTGGGCTCTGGTCGGATCTGAGCACTAAGGAACCATCCTGGAACCCCAAGTGACAGCCGTCCTCAACGGAACTCAGCCCAAAGGCAATGAAATGACCTTCCCTGGAACATCCCTTGAGGGCTTCAAGCTGAGTGGGATAAGCCAGGCAGAGAAAACCGATACTGTGCTATCTCACTGACACTTGATATCTTAAAAAACCAAACTCCCAGAAACAGAGCACAGATTGGTAGTTGCAGAGGCAAGGGGTAGGTGGTGGAAGAAATGAGTGAAAAGGGGCCCAAAGGTATTCTGGGATGTCACTTGCGATGTGGCGACTCCAGTTAACGTTACTTTACTGTCCACTAAAAGCTGCCAAGAGAGTAGATCTTCAAAGTTCTCATCACGAGAAAAAATTGTAAGTATGTGAGTGACGAATGTTAACGAAAATTATTTTGGTGGCCATTTTGCAAAATGTGCATAAATCAGTATACTATACCTCTTAAACTGCTACAATATTATATGTCCCTTCCATCTCAGTAAAACTGGGGAGGGGAAGGACCCCTGAGGACTTGTGAGCAGACGGGGTCAACAGGGCCCAGCACCAGCTGATGCCTTACTCCTAGTTCTCAACAGAGGCGCGCAGTGGCCGGAGTCCGTGGCGCAGGGAAGCAGGGGGCGGGGCTTACTCCAGTTACCTGGGGGTAGAAGTCGGCCACCTTCCTGAGTCCCCTCCAGGTTTCTGGCAGGTATCACAGCCCTAACTTCTCATCCCTTCTAGCAATTATGGAAAGAATAATGGGTAACTAGCTGTCTGAGAATTCTCTTACTAGTTTACTCAAGATCCCACATTGAATAACAACAGGTGGAGACCGAGATGAAGGCGGGAGGGGCTGTGCTGTGCTCTCCAACACCCACAAACGCAGGCCAGAAGGGAAAGACCCATGAGCTCATCGCCGGGAGGGTCAGGGACTGTCCCCTGAGATGTTGTGATCGCCTCCAGCTCTGACTGGAGCTACTGGAAATTGTGCCAAATCACAGTAAGTCTGCATAAAGCCCCCCGTCAGGAAAAGTGGTTTCGGGACAGAGGAATGTGACTCGGAAGCAGGACCGTGCAACAGGGCCTCACGATCTTACTGCCCGAGATAACACACTGGAGAGCAGAGCTGGGTTCTCAGCCGCCTGAACACTTCCATAAATGGAGTCTGAACGCAGGCCGCACGCCATCCAAAGACTCCCCGGAGAAATTCCTATTATGTCCGTGGAAGGGGAGTGCAGCAAGTCCCATCTGGCTGGGCCGAGAATACTCCCTGCTTAGGAAACTCTGTGGCTGTCTGCACTGAGTGCCAAGTGCATGCTCGTACTAGACCAAAGCCCCGGACCCAGAGGTGGGAGTGCGCTGAGAAATGAGCCAGACAGCGCCGGCAGTGCAGGGTGATTCTGTCTCTAAAACACCAAAACCACAAGGCAAGATATTAACAAGGGTGTCACTTTTATAAAGTCCCTAGCTGGTTATGAGACAATATTATGACCCATGTTGTTCAGAGTTGCTATAGTGAAATCGAGTGACATTATCTTTTTCCACTTGGTCTATCAATACACAAGCGAAAAGCAAGAACGGGCTGACAGGCGCCACTAGTGACTCGTGCTCCGTTGGCCTGATGCCCTCAGGGAAACCCCAGAGCTTTAAACTAAGTGCACAATGAAATCAGCCTTATTAGGAAGTCAGGGCACAGGGGATGAGGCGGCAACTCCACTGCTACCTGCTCCAAGAGGCTGAAGCACCGAGGCCCCTTCCTCCCTGGGTGGTAACCTCTAGTGACTCCCTAACACGCTGATAACTACCGAGTTCTCTCCTGCAGTGCCTGTAACTGAAGGCTCATGGGGGCCAGAAAACCAGCAGTCCCATCCAGTCAGCAAAAACATGATGTATCGGAATGAAAAGCTTTATTAGAGACACAAAGTTAATTGAATGCGTACCTCGAGGCACCGTGGTCTGAGGCCACGCCTCTGCAGCGTGGCCCGGGGGGCCAACAGTGCCACCAGCGCTGGCAGTTTGTTTAGATGAGCAAAGTCGGGGACCCGCTGTAGACCCAGTGAGTCAGAATAGCTGAGAATTGGGCCCCCAAATCTGTGTTTAAGTTCTCTAGGTGATTCTTACGTACCTTAAGGTTTTGAGTAACTAGTATTCAGAGGAAGGCAGGAATAAGCAAGAAATGTCATAAGGACTGGGATTTTGCCAGGGACACCCGATACACTCTTGCTGTCATGTAGATTTTAAACCATCAGTTACAAGGAGGAGGATGAATTATATGCAAAATTACGTGTGGAAGATGGGGCCTCAAATGCGTGCCTACGTGTGGGGTCGAACACCTGCTCCGCATTCGGTCCCACAGAGACATGCAGACCAGACTAAACAACCGGCAGGTTCTCCACGCTCCCCGCGTGCAAGACTCTCACTCGGCACACCCAGGGGGGCAACGCCACCTGTGGCTCTTTCTAGGAAGCACTCTAACAGATGACTGAGCAGGTCAACTGAGAAGAAGCAGCCCAGCTGGGGGCGGGCGGGCCGTACCGTGGTTGACATGTCTGATGCAGTCGTTCAGGAGAGCGCTGAACTTCTTCTGGTCCGCGGCCTCGTGGAAGCAGAAGTAGCCGTGTCTGAGGAAGGGCAGCCACAGGTACACGGGGAATTCCTTCGGCAGGACCACAAAGGGCTGGGCGTTCTCCTTCTCAACGGATGCTGCAGAGATATTGAAGACACAAAGATGTTTCAAAATGTACATCTTTTCTTAAACTACTTATGTCAGGCTGTGGAGGTAGTTCTCTAGGGCAGGCCACGGGGTGGAAGGGTGCTGTGAGATGTTTGGGGGGGCTTGGGGGAATGAGAGTCCAGGCTCCTCCTGTATCCCTCCGCCAGCTTCACCTGTCTCACTCCAGCAGGTGGCCTCACCTGCTACCCCTGGGGGACCACCAAGGCCATCAGACACGATCATTCCAGACTTCCCCAAATCCACGAAATCAGCAAACAGAGCTCCCTCTCCCCCACTGGCTCTCCACAAGCTGTCCTGACCACCCGTGCAGATGGTCACACTTCTCCCCCCAGCCCCAGGCTCTTGCGCCACCGGATCTGCTCTCTACCCTGCACGCTGTCCCTCCTCCCTGCCCCCACTGTCTTCACCCCGCCAACCCCCCTTCTCACCTCGGTCTTGTTCCTGCCCCGCCAGCCCAGAAACCAAATTGCTGAGGTCACTCATGTCACCCTGGCTGCCAGCCTGTGGCTTCCTCTTTATTATCTATGCTGTTAACCCGATCTGAAACATCTGTTGCTGCCGGCTACCCCGTCTTGTGAAAACATTCCCTTGCCATGACTTCTAAAAGCATGTCTCTCCTGGTGTCCTTCGTGCTTTTAAACAAGTGTTCCTTCTTTGTCCCCTTTATTGGTTCTTCTGCCCTTTCTCTGCATCCCCCAGGTGAGTGAGGGCACTTGTTCCCTGTTCTGTCCTGGTGTCCACTTCACTCCTGGTCTCCACTCTCCCCAGGTGCCACCATCCACCCCATGACTCTGCAGATTGCCTCTGCTGTTCGTGTCACCTCTCCTCCTTCCCTCCCATCACAATTTTGCACAGGGACGTCTCACATCCAGCAAAAGTCAATGCAAAAGCCACCTGCTTTGAGGTGCCTTTGCTGGCACCTCCCCTGCTACCAGAGACAGAGTTGGGTGCTCCCTACCTTGTTCTCCCCAAATATAGTAGTGATCTGTTTCCACGTCTGGCACCCACACTGAGGGCGAGGGGCACAGACTGACAGCAGCTCTCGCACTGACGCTCCCCCCAGGAAGCTGCCCCACTGCCCTGGGAGCCCCAGGAGAGGGAGACTGCATCTGACATATCTTTGTACCCTCCACTCACGGCACAGTCATGGAACTAGTGGATGTGGAACTACTGAATGAATGAATGAATGTGCTACGTTGTCCAAGGAAATTTTAAAGGGCTTAAATAATGGGGACTTTTACCTCTTTCCTCAAACTCAATTCCAAGAGACTCATGCTAAGCCGTACTAGTACTCAGATGCCCCACCTAAGCTCTATTCCCTTTCATGCATTACGATGATATGGCATTGCGCTTGGTTAAATGAAACCCAGCTCCTCCCTTGAGTTGTGGAGAACACGTAGATGAAAAATTATCCCTGTGCACCCCGCCTATACCGTACGCTCTGATCTCAGGGCAAGGAAGAGAAGAAGGACCCTCCAAAAGGCCAAAGAAAGCTCTAGGCATACAAAGAAATGGAACACAACATAAGGGTGGCTCCACACCCGAGCATTGCTACTGGCAAGTTAATAAGTCAAGATAGGCTTAGAAAAAGAACATATTTCCCTGCGCACATGTGGGCGATGTTTCCATGTCCTGAAACCTGTAGGTCTCCTAGTAAAATGCGCTGGAACCACCAGCGAAATACCTGGCCCATAACAACCTAAGAATGAGTCAGTATGTGAGTGAACAAACGAACGAACGAACGAATGAATGAATGAATGAATGAATGAATGAATGCTGTAGCAGAGACCTCTATTAGTAACACGTGTCTATTTCCCCTTCTTTCTCAGGAATAAAATCCTTGACTTTTCATTCAGCAAATGCTGCATGTCCAGCCCTCACTTCAGCTTCGAGTGCCACAGCCAGTAAGTTCTGACTAATGGGGTGGCAGGGGTGTCCAACCTCGTGGTGTCCCTGGGCCACACTGGAAGGAGAGTTATGTTGGGCCACACATGAAATACACAAACGCTAACGAAAACTGATGAGCAAAAAAAAAATAGGTTTCAAGTAAATTTACAATTTTGTGTTGGGCCACGTTCATTAGCCATCCTGGGCTGTATGCAGCCCACAGGGTGTGGGTTGGACACCCCGGAATGGAAGAGGCAGCGACACTTCCTGGAAGTATCCCTAAAGGGAGGGAATGCGTTTGTCTCCTCCCCTTCTCTCCTTCCTGCTGCCTGGGAGGAGAACGCCCGGCTGGCTCTCCAGCAGCCACCTTGGGCTATGTGAAAAGGGCCACAACTTAGAAATAAAGGGGGAGAAAGCTAGAATGAGTCCCTGACACTCATGGAATTGTCCTGCCAGCCCTGGACTGCGAAAGTCAAATGTTTTCAGCAAGACAATAGAACTTGACGTATTTAATTTGAGTTTTTTTGTTGTGTGTGGCAAACTAGATTCTAACTAATAAAATGCCAAATAAATGAGTCACTTCAGCAAGACATGAGGGCACCTATAATACATCATCTTAGTAAAAAGACGTATTCACTGACAAGCCTCTAGTACTTTTTCTCAAGTGAGGTTAATTCCTTCCATCTTTCTTGTGCCTTTCCAGTCTGTAAAATCCTTTCCAGTCGAATTAGTGTCACACGGGGAGTCCTTCTTTTCACGCGGCTCTGTGAAGCAATTCTTGCCCTTTCCAAGATGTCACAGTTTTATACAAACAACTGACAGGAACATGGACCTTCTGCATTTAAAAGCTTCAGAAAGCCCCATAAAACACACTCCTATTTAACCTTTTACAACAATTTTCCAGATGCCATTCGTCGGCATTTTTTCTGAGCTGAGTTACAAGACTTTCACAAATGATCTACTGTAGAATGTTTTATTTTTAAAACTCAGAAGGCCACACCACACAATAAGGAAAGAGTCATGAAATGCCCCGATCGGAAGCCCTGAGCCAAACGGCATTGGTCACACAGGACTTGTGTTTTTTATTCCTCTTCATTCCTTCTGACATGATTTCATCAATTAACCAGTCAATATATTGTCTGTTCTGACTGATTCCATTGGAAAGTCCTTTCGGAGAGATTCCGAAGAATCAGCATGTTGGTATTCCCATTTCCAGCGGCAGCCCCAGAGCCAAGGTGACATGTAAGCAGATGTCAAAAGAAAATATAATAATATGTATAGTGCATATAAAGTGTTGTTTTAGCTTGAGTTACTGCATATTTAATAATAGTTTGTTGATCTAGGTTTATGGTCCATGTACTAATCTAATAATAGTGCCATTAAAAACACTATGCTGAGAATTCTGCGCCAAAATAACAGTTGAAAACAATGACTCCATTTTCTCCATAAATTCTAATGAAATGATTATATCCATTAATAAGAACCAGCACTCTCTTCAAGAAACCAAGTAATTACTGTGCAGTGTGATTTACACAAAGCCAGATGGAATTATTGCATTATCCACAGTTCATGAATCTCTATGAAATGCACTGCTTGGTCTATACACACATGTTATCCATCACTTTCTCTACGTGAAAAAGGTAGAATGAATGAGAATCCAAGTACATCAGAGATGAAAAGATCCTTCTAGATTTTCAAAGGTCAAGGCCCTGGTATTGGAGAAACAGTAATCACAGAGGTTTAGTAACACTAGGATACACATTTGCTAAGGGGCACAGTTAGAACCAGATAAAAATCTGGTCTTCCAGTTCTCAGTTCAACGTGCTTTCCATGGCAGCATTTGGCCATTATTTATAAAAATGCTAATTAACACAATGCTTTTTTACACCGTAGCTATGAGTTACTGTAACGCTTGTTAAAAAACATTTTGTCGGGTTGGGATATTCTATTGCATATCTTCCTAAAATTAGAAAAGTGATATTCCCTTGACATGCTTACTGGAAGACAAGATTGAACATTTTACAGACTGAGCCCCACCTATTTATTTCTGCTCTCCTGGGCAGTGCTGCCAAAGCCTCCAATGTATTCCAAAAGCCTTAAGACGCCAACCAGTGGCACGCTCTCGATGCACTAGAAACACAGGAACGGACTTACATATCACTGAACGTGACTTAAAATAATAGAAGTGGTACAATGTTTACCTAAATTAGGAAAATTACGTCTCCCATTTGTCTGTGGAGCCTGTGTATCTAACCCAGAGTTTCTCAACTTCAGCAACCCCTGATATTTTCTGTCAGATAAGTCTCCATTTTCAGGGCTGGCTCTGTTCATTGCAGGGTGTTTAACAGCATCATGGGGCTCCGCCCACCAGATGCCTGAAGCACCATCCTTCCAAGCTGTGACGACCAAAAATGTCTCCAGACCCTGCCCAATGTCCCCGGAGAGAGAGATCTCCCTCCCCCGTTGAGAACCACCAGCTAAACAAAGCAAGTCTAGGCATGTTGCCTTGGGAAAGAATGCTCAGCCACTCACCAAGAGGGTCTGGGAAATGCCGATCAGATAATAAATTGTATTCCTCTTCTGAGGTTAACACTTTGCCTCCCGCTGGAAGAAGGCGGCTTTTAGGAGCAGCTCCTCTCTGATAGGCCTGGGAAGGGAAAAGCATACATGAGCGATTATTTTCCCCCATTTGGCATTTTGAAAAATATCAGGAATATTAGAAATAGACAGACCCAGACACTCCAAGATAAGCAATTCCCACCCTATGTTATTGAGTACGAGCCATGCACTTAATAAAATACATTTTGCATAACTGCTGCTTGCAAGATATTCCCTTAGTGCTTTTGTGTGATGGTCGCAACATGGTAAATCAGGCTCCCTCATCTCGGGGAGATTCCCTGTAGGTATGTTTCTCAGATGAGGAAAACACCGTCTTAGTAATTTCCAGAAGTCCTGCACCATACCATCGCAGGCACTGGCAGCCGAATCATTCTGATACCCACAAGGGTGATGTACACGCAGACGTTCACTATGCCGGCTGACTGGTGACTAACCAGACTGTGGGCCAGGTGACTGCAATCACAGTTGCCATGGATTTCCACCAAAAACAAAAACACGTTGCCATGATGAAGATGCCACCACTTGGCCCCGGGGCGTGAGACTGTTTTATAGTAACATGATCTGGGCTGGAAGGGCATTATCATGATGTCGTAACACAGGCCAGCCAGCAGACAGAAAGCTCTGCGGTTCAGGTGCAGAGCATTGCTAAGACACTGAAAAGCATTTGCAAAGCAGAGAGGCCCGCAAGGGCACACAGTTAAGGTACAGTTAGGTGGGTGCATCTGATGCTGACGGCAGGGCCTAAGTCAAGGCAAAAGTTTGAGAATGACAAACTAAAGGCCAGTTGGGAATTGACACCGAGGAACTGGGCAACCCAAAACATAGAGTGGACTCCTGGGAATAACTGAACGAATGTTGATCAGGGGAATAACTGAACCAATGTTGATCAGGGGGCCACATAATCAGAGTAAGAATAACACACTCTCCATCAACAAGGTAGTGACTGAAGAGACCCAGACAAAACAAACTCTCATATATCTAAGAAGGTCGTTTTCAACTGCTACTCAACTGCTTATGAGCATCAGGGACCCAGAGAGAATTGAAAGTTGTGTGATTGACTGACCTCAAACCTCAACTGTGTTTATTTGTTATAACAGGCCCCAATCTGGGCTTTTATAAGCATGACGTTACTTAATCTTAAAAATGACACTAAGAATTAGCTATTATCTCCATTTCATAAATGAGAAGAGGGGTTAAATAACCTGCCAACGGCCCATCGGTGAGTAGGTGACGAATCCTGGATTCGCACCTGGGCTTTCAGTCCAGCGCAGGTGCACCAGTGAGATGGTTATCAACTGAGACTGCTTATTTTTCCTGCTCAATTACCAGCCAAAACTGAACCCTCCATAAAATAGCCGGCAATTTGTAGGTACTTTGTGCATAACTCTTAGGTATAATTTTTAAGAACACATTCTATAAATGAAAAATAAGACATTAATAAAACTTAGAGGAATCATGGCAAGCTGCATGGTATTTTTCTTAATTTCCAAGTTTTCTTTAATACTTGTTTATTATCAAATTCAGTAACCATATCTTAAAAATCCAAACAGGAGCATTTGAAAATGATGAGCAAAAAAATTGTTTATACCTGGTTATTATCCAATTCAGTAACTATATCTTGGAAATCCAAACAGGTTCATTTGAAAATAAGGAGCAAATAAATTGAAAATTGAGGGAGAAAGCTTTAAAAATGAAAAGAGGAAAAACACCCATTTTGATTCAAAATGAAACTTCGGTTAGTGCCAAATATGGCGAAAACCATAATAAATCCAAGAGGAAGCTCTCTGAGTGTTTCCTCCCAACGACCGAGTGGTAATTGTGCCAACAGCTGCCCTATATCGGTCTCTGCCAGCGCTCAGCCGCATGCTGAGTACTTCAATGCCCTCCTTTGTCTAATCCTCACAGCGACATTGTGAGCAAGGGAGCACGCTCACCATTTTACGGATGAGAAAGGTTAGGCTCAAGAAGATTTACAGCTAATGAAAGGACACATCTAGTGCCAGATAAAGGTGTGATTCAAAGTCCACAATCTTAACCATTACACCATCTTGCCTCTTTGCAAGCTTCCCTGAGAGGACAGCGTAGCGTGCCATACAACATAAAAATGATTTGCTATTATTGTCATTGTTATTTGTAGTGCATTGGGAATTTGCTTGAGAGAGCATGTCAAGAGTTGCATAAAATCCTAACATAGATAAACAGAGAAAATATTAGTTAATGAGTGTTGAAAAGAATAAGGCTACTCAAGATGGCATTACCTGGCTGCCTGCGGAATAAGTTTGTATTGCATTTTATTTCTATTTTCCACCAGAAGTGGGAAGGAAACACCTTGGTCTGTCAGCCTGACACCTCCTCCTAAAGATTTAGCATCAGGGATATTGCTCAGAGTATCTGTGGTGGTGTCCTGGCTGCTCTTGAACTTAGGGTCCAGAGAGCAGAGTTTTCGATTGGTTACAACTTTTAACTGATAAATAATAGCTACTTATTTCAAAGGCAGCTTGAGAATCTATGTAGATTTAAAATATGTACGATTCCATGTGAATGGAATCGTTAGGATCATTCAGCCTAACTCTCCAGTTTCACTGAAACCCAAACTAAGCTTTAGTTTCCCAAGTTCACGGCCCAGTGTTCCTCCCTCTATAGCACTATACTCTCCGCAGGAGAAACAAACAGGAGCCCATAAAAACTGACGTTCTCCCACATGCTGGGCACTTCACATACATTATCTCATTTTCTCCGCATTTCACAGACAAGAAAAAGAATGAGATAACCAAGAATTGGTTAGAAGGAAAAAATCCGTAAAATATAAGCAAAATAAGTATATGAAGTGTCCTGAATTCCTAGGAACTCATGCAAATTCAACCACAATCTTATTAAATAACTCCTCAGCCACCTGTCCTGTAGGAGGCTTAAGAATGGGAAGACATGGAGACACAGAGCAAAGGGACAGATACCAGGACAGCGACCTTGAAGCCGAGGAATTGCAGGAAAGGCTCCTGCACTGGTCACCTGGCATGACCTATTTTCACACTCATTTGCAATGGCTTGTTCAAAGTCTCTCTGGCCCACCAGACTGCAAACATCTCTCTGCCCTGCTGTTCTATGCCCAGAACCTCTCATGACATGGCACATAATAGGCACTCAATAAACATCTGTTACCTGATATGAGCACCTGCTCGAGAGTGAGGCCTTATTAAAACCATCAGTTCTGAGGAAGAGGGCATGAAAATCAATCCACCGGATTTTCAGGAATATTGCAAGAACCAAGGGTAACAAGGAAATAGCTCACCTCTTTGTTCTCATAGCTCTCCACAGCGAAATCATTTTTAACCACGACATATCTCTCCTTCCATTTCTTTATGTCTTCAGCAAACTGTGATAGTTCTGCTTCATATAAAACAGTGCCAGGATCCAAGGGTGGCTTAAAGAAGATGAAAACAATTAATCATGATAATAGAAGTTGACATACCGTGCTACCACTAAGTCTGCCCATGCATGTCGAGGACTATTTTAGGAAACTGTCTTGGGCTGAAATCCTGGCGAAGTGGCTGCTTCTTCCCCTCCCTCCACACTTCCCTTTCCTTCTCCTCCCGTCCAAACGCACATATGTGTCTTATCAATATTTTTGTGGCTCTCATTTCCCTCCATTATGCTATAGAAACAGCAGCAAATGGTGGGAGGGGTTATGGTAATAAGGTTGTGCCTGGTATACATGTGGCACTTAATAAATCCTTGATAAACTCTGTGGAAGAGAGGGAGCAAAGCAGTTAGGTATAGGTTGCAGAATTCTATCCCGACACCAGGAATATGCCTCAGGTTTAATCCCCCAGAGACTGGAGAATTAACAGGCTGTTCTCCTATTCACCACACCTCCAAGCATCCTCAAGAGTCAGTGCTGAGTGGTTCTCCCAGGCCCAAGGCTGCGGGAACTCAGGGTGCACACACTGAACCCGTGCCTGTTCTCAAGAAAAATACGTTGGCTCTCTGGTCAAAGAACAAGCAGGACAACCAGCTCTGCTCTGCCCCTGGTACTTACAAGTCTGAGGGTTTCTCATGCATTCTGGTGGCCCCGGGTGCTGCAGGGGAGTCTCTGGGAGACCTCCAGTTACGTCTCCCACCTGGCTGACCGTGCACGGAATCAGTCCCACCCTGCCTCCCGGTGCAATTCCTGTTTTATCTCAAAATGCAGGAATGGACCTTCTGTCTTCCACGTGAATTTACGTCTATTTTAACTTTATTAAAAAAATCTTACCGCCTTTAGAAACTCAACCCTCCGCTTCGAAAACAGCACTGAGCAGGTAGATATGCTAATCTTTCTGAGAATGGTCTGAGGGATGAAATAAATTCCTTTCCCGAGTCCAGGGCTTAATATTCTGTCCTCACAAATAATAAGGCAGTCTCTTATCTTGCCTCATTAACAGGTTGAGAGGACCTCATTTTTCTCTCTACAGGAGACTGAAACCATATGTAAGCGGAACCCTTTACAGTCCTTATGTGTGGCATTTCTTAAGCCTGGGCCACTGAAATCAATTGACACGCTCGTTTAAAATGTGGCTTCACCCTAGACTTACTATAACAGAATCTCTAGGAGTATGGGCCAGAATGTGTATCTTAACAGTCTCTCTGAATTTTGAGAACCACTGTTTTGTGGAGATGACAATCAGTTATCCCTACACAGACACGCTACTAAACCCATCAGTCACCTGACTCAACCTCTCGGCAGTACGTGACCCATTTCACACTCCCAACTTCCTAAAACTCCTTTTTCTTGCCTTCTGGAACATTTCACATCCATGGCTTTTCTCCTACTCTGCAGGCTATTTCTTCTCTGTCCACCTGGCAGGATTCTTCCTTTTCCAGTCCCAACTATTGAAGGGGCCAAAGGTTGGTCGTGAAACCCTTCTTTCCTCTATATTCTCTCTCAATTAGGTCCCATGGCTTTGCTACCAGTTATAAGCTAAGAAATCCCAAATTTCTGTTCTCTAGCTTCACCTTCTCCACGGAGCTCCAGATCAGAGGATTCGACTACCTCCTCAAAATTTCCATAATATATATTAAATAAGTGTCTTAAAGTTAAGATGTCAAAAGTGAACTCATGTTTCCTATCCACTTCCAACTCTTCCATCTGAAAGGCACCTCCATCCACTTACTTGCAAGAAGTCAACGCTGATTTCTCCCTTCTCTGTTCTCTCTTACTCTCCTTTCTCCAGGCCATCAGCAAGTCCTGTCAGCTCTGTCTCAACCACCTTGACCTGGACCTGTCCTCAAACTGCTGCCATCACCACCCCAGTGCCATTTGCCATCACCCTTCTCCTGAGCTGCTATGCTGTCCTCCTCGCTGGTCCCCCATCTCCCTCCTTGTCCTTCCCCATCGTCTTTTCACTGTAGAGAGGCCAGAAAGATCACTTCAAGTTAGAAGACACTCTGTATTCAATACCTTTCAATAACTCTCTACCACACTGAAAATAAACACCCAATTGTAGTCCATGGGTCCCACACGGTCTAGTCCCTACCTGTCACTCTGCAGTCATTTCTCGTCCCTGCTCCCTTGCTTATACCGCCCTCAACACTCCACCTTCCTGGTGTGCCTGAGGCTGCTGCAGGGTCTCTGGACTGGTCCTGTCACGTGCTCGGCACACTCTTCCCACAGACGCGCACACAGCCTACGCTCACTTCACTCCCATTTCTGCTCCAGTGTCGCCCCCGCAGAGGGCTTCTCTGACCGTCTTCTCTAAAATAAGCTTCCTGCTTTATTTTTCTTTGTAGCATTTGCCCTCACCTGACATCCCCTAATATTCATTTGTTCGTTTATTGTCTGTCTCCTATATTTGACTATAAATAGGAAGACAGAGAATTTGACTTCTTCCCCAGTTGTTGGAATAAGGCCTGGCACACAGTAGGTGTCCACAGTTATTTGCTGAGATCATGGATAATCATTACAATGGAGCCAAAGAAAAAGAATAAGTGACTTTAAAAAATTGAATTTCACTAGAGCAAGTCAAATTTCCTGATATCAAAGCATCAATGTGGGGAAAACATATTAAAAATGGGTCATGCTGGGGGGGGGTTTAAATACAGATTACACCATCAACAAAAATTCATATGTTCTAACTCCCAGGTAAATAGAGCGTTTTGAGCATGAAATGATTTGAGAGCATATTTTTAAAAATCAGCCATTCAAATGATTATTTCTTTCGGATCTATTACGAGTTATAAAGCCGTACGCAGGGGGAGAAATGCACGAGCCAGGAGGCCATGGGTTACCTTGGTCTTCAAGAGCTGTGATGTCACATCTCTTTGCTGCTCCACTTCGCTGCGCACGTGATCGCAGAAAGCCACCGAGTACTGGCGGCTGTAGAAGGGGCTGAAGTTTTTGATAGCAGCCTCAGTTTTCCCTGGGGAAACATAAAAGTCAGAATTTAGAAATGTAGCCTTTCTCACAGAATAGACACGTGTCTACCTCATTCCGTAATCACTCCTCCCGTCTCCCTCACACCGCTGTCCCCCAGGAAGGTCCACGTGCCCTGAGAACTATGATGCTTGTTGCACATGCCTTTATCTTGCCTCTCTTCTGAGACCATCCTGAGATACTCTGTTGTCCCTAGACAGCATCCATCCATCTGGGCACCAAGAGAGTTTTTCTTCATTTTACATCAACAACCCATTGCCATGGCCATAACTCAACATCCTTCCAATCCCTTACAACTCCCACTCTCCCTCACCCTGTTCTCACTTCCACTGGCTCTTCATTCGCCTCTATCATTCAGCTCCTACACAGCAATCATGCCAGGGCCCACCGCTTCAGCTCTGCACTCGTCTCACTCCATTTGTCTTCAGAGCCCTGAGGCTCCTCCCTCTCCTCCTGCTGATGCACAGCCCTGGATGCAATATCAACAAACTACTTCTTCTAGCTCTGGTCCTATGTTTCAGTATAATGCTTTGTGTGTGGTTCAAAGCATCACCTAATTTCTGTGAGGTAGAGAGAAAAGCTTTATCAGTCCAGAGTCCTGAGTTCTGGTCCCAGTTCTACTAAGAGAGAAACCGGCTGCAGGGCCTCTGTCAAATCTTTTATTCTGCCCAGGTTCTCACAACCCCCTAACTCTAAAGGAAAATGCCAACCAGTCCACCCTGTTCTTGGAATCTATGTGAACTGGAAGTATAACCATGAATGTACAGTGGCCTCATAATAGTGACCCGTGACAACAATACGGTCTCTCAGCGCCAGCAGAAAATAAAGCTGAGAAACAGCCATGGGGCGGCAGCTCGAGGACTCGAGATGGAGAGGAAGAGCCAGGCACTGGGAATATTCTTGAGCTTTTCCAACCTGTGCTTACCTTTAGAGAACAGGGTAGTTGCAGAGGAAGGAGAAGGGAGGACAAATAAGGGAGAGAGGGCCAAGGAGTATTCTAAAGCAGATTAGAAATCTTCACAATCTTTCGAGCCCTTGCTGCAGAGTATAGAAATAAATACAGGTCCTTTGGACTGTGCTTAAAAGCTCTCAGCCCTTGGAATAAGATATTAGCCTGAGAAAAAGTAAACCTGATACAACACTCCAAAGTATTTTGAAATACTTTCATGTGAATTTGGCATAATGTTTGTTTTCAAACTTGATATCACCATCAACAGAGAAATATTAAAATATAACATACTGTCAAGATTTGCTTAGAGCTATTGCACATATAAAATTTTAAAAATAAGTAGAGAGTTCTAACCACATAGACTGAGATACTCAATACAAGAACCTTGGATCCGTAGCTGTCAACTTCTAGCCAATAGTAACACACCCCAAAGCCCATAATGCATGAAAATTCTCTTTATATAGAGAAGTTTACTTTAACTCAGGCATTTAGATCTCACGATATATGTGAGGCAAAGGGAACTTCTTGCTTATGCCCTCAATAAAAAGATATTTCCTGACCATATTTATGGGCTTTAATAGTTATTCATTGTAAGGTGCTTTGAGACCCACTAATAATAGTTTCTGTGGAAATGCAAATGAAAGCTCCTATAATTTGAACCAGGCATGCTTTTGCTTGCTCTATGAGTTTATGGTATTACTATTAATCAATATTTGCATAACACCTTAACACGCTTGGGCTTTATAACTGCCTAATTGGTTATTATTTTCATTAACTTTTATAGAGTGCATAAGAAGTAAACTTCAATCTTCTTGCTTATAATTTGCTTACATAGGAATGGGACATCCTTAAGAATTCCCACAAGGAGAATGGGTCTCACCTCGCCGAAACACGAACAATTAACAAAATTTGCCCTTTGGATCCAAGTAGCCACTATTTTGTCTGGCAGAAGAACAGCCTGTTAATTTCTGATGCTAATTTTTGCACTCCTGCAAGAACTTGGATTTAAATGAAAGGAGATGGCTGTTGTTTTATAATGAGCTTTACAAAGCCTTGAAAGTTGCTTTCCTGCTCCATCACCCAGCCTCTTAAAGGATGCCTGGCTCCTACTGAAGTGTGATGATGCCGCCACTCCCTCCCACTGCATGAGAAAAGTGCCTCTGTGATTTGAAAATTGCACATGGTACCATCAGCACATCATCCACCAGGCAACACTTATTAAAAAAAGGGGATACAGCTTCCTTGGGTAATTAACCTAACGACTGGTTCAAAATGGGAATAAAACAGTTTATTCAGGACATCACAAGTTCTAGGGGAAGGAAAACCTAAAGCAATTTCTAAAATGCATCTAGGTTTCAGATCAAGCCTCTCTAAGCCCAAATAAAGGAAAGCCCAATGTAGGGATCTTTGACCCTTTGAGAAAAGCCTCGTGCTGGAGCAGCGTGTCACTGTGGTTAGGACGATGGACTCTGGAGTCAGACAGACGTAGGTTTGAGTCCCATCTCTGCTATTTACCAGCAGTGGCAGCTTCCTCTTGCGTAAAATGAAGACAAGTAGAGCCATCTCATAGTGTTATTGTAATGACAGGAAATAATGCGGGCAAGGGCTTGGCACTGTCGTTGGCACATAGAAAGTGTTCAATAATCCACAGTAATTAAGTTGATGATAATGGTGAGGATGGAGCACCAGAGCCAACTACCAAGGGAATGTCCTTCAGCTGAACAAAGAAATCAAGGAGAAGCCAAGAGCAGGTTGTCCACAGCAGCTCTGTACCTGGGGCCACCCTGTTTGATGCACAGCAAACAATGGTCCCAGTCATCACAGGCTCCAAACAAACGTAACCTACACTGTCACAGATGTTTCAGGAACACTCATCAGCACATCAGAGGCCCGCGGTACATCCCTGAATTGAAACCAGTGAAATACAACGTTGGCATGAATGAGCCAAAGCAAAAGCGCGAGTTAGGAGCTGTATTACGTCAAGCCCCTCTCTCTGTGCCTCAATTTTCTTCCCTGTAAAATGGGAGTAGTAAGACAGTCATTTCACACTTTGTCTGGACGAAATGAGATAGTGTTCAGGTAAAAGAGAGCCTAGACCAGCACCTGACACTTCAGTTGCTCAATACATTTTGACTATTATTACTATTATTTTATATTCGGCTGAGAAAGCATTCAAATAAAGCGAACTGGCACACAGGCTGAGCCGGCTTGTTTTCAGTGTTCAGGATTCTTGGGTGTAGGAGTGTCTTCATTCCCGTCCCTCTTCCCAATTTAGAATCGCGTTCCCTTTCCTGAACTGTTTGCAAAACGCAGGGCCAGGCCTCGCACTGAAAGGATGTTACTCCATAATACAAAGACTAGAACAATAGAAGGGCCACACTTTGTCCACGCTTGGTCACAGCAGCATTTTTGGTGCATATTTCTCCCAGTCCTCCCCCCTTATTACTGCCTGTGCCGGACACGGTGTTGCTACAACTAACTCCACCAGGCTGTTCACAACACCCTTCGGGATAATCGTCCCTAAAGCTTAAAACAGCCTCTTCCGGAGCTCTGACCACAACACTTAGCTTCAGTTCAGCTCTGTCAAAGTTAAGGAAAGTGTCTTCTGGCCCTTTCACAACCATTTGGATTCAGAGAAATTCAAAATCTCAGCACTGCTGTTTGGTTCCTTCCCCCTGACGCCCAGATTCAATAATCAGATCTTGCCACTTCTATTTGCACAGTATTTCTTGAATCCGCCCCTTTTTCCCCATCTCATACACCTTTAACCAAGTCTTTATCATCTTTTTAAGAATGCTGTAAGGTCTCTTCGTCTGCCCTATGTCATTATCACAGCAGCGCCAAAACACTTGGTAGCATCCAGTCCTAAAAGAGCAACGGAGAAGTCAAAACCCGAGTGGGAGAAGGAGGGATGCGGCTGTTACACGGACCCTGGAGGATTGTGGGATATAAGCCACAGTGTGGTCAGGGTGGCAGACAGGCAGGTTCTGGGAAGCGCTGGACCGAGAAAGTGTTGAACGGAGGGCCGACGGAGCAGAACAGGGGAGGCTGCAGCCAAGCCGGCCGCCGTCGTGCCACTCAAGGCAAAGCTGGCATGAGCCACCGAGGGCCAAGGTGTGAGTGGAGAGCTGTCTTTCAGAGCCAAGTCTTGCCGTCGGCACTGCCAGGGAACTCTTTGAGCGCCCTAAGAGTCACATCTCCAGTAGCAGAGGCATGATCCTCTGTGTCCCTCTCTGACAAGTTTCATTTGTCATGTCGTTTCAAGACCATGTCACTACCTTTGTGAAAACCTTCAACAGCCCCCCACTGCTACTCCCCAGGGCAGTAACCACTTAGCCTGTGACCTGGCTCCCACTGCCCTCACCTCCTACCCCTCCTACTCCAACTCTACTCCTTGTCCCCTGGACATGCCCATCCTTCAGCCCTCCACCTCCCCAGAAGCACCCTGCCAGCCGTTGCCAGACCCTTCCCACCCAGAGGGTAATCCCAGCCCAAGAAAAAGCCTTTTTGGCTCTCCCCAGCTGAAAGCACTCTCCTTCTCTTGTATTCTCCCGAAACTGTGTACCAATTTGCTACAGCTGTTTAAATACGGCTTATCTCTCCTCCAAGGGTACACCGTGTTTATGGACCCAGCAAATATTTGTCGGATGAACAAAAGAGTGGCTGTGTAAATGTTTAAGAGGGAAGCAAAGTACAATGCCTCATAATCGTGGGACCCATGGCAGTACCCCGTGAAAGGAGAGATGCGCAGTTCTCTGCTCCAATACTTATTATTAAAAATACGCGCTCTTGAAGTTCAACTATGTGTTTCTGAAAAACGTCAGACTCTTCCTGATTAATTCCTCCTAAGTTTTTGAATGAATTTTGTCCATGAAATTATAGGTGGGAAATTATTTACCCACAGAAGCTTTTCTTCCTTTTTCTTGAGTAGTCTGTAAACATGGGATTATATAATATAAAGGTCTAGGTGAAACTACCGTGAAGTCTGAAGAGCCTAAAAGATTTGTATAGTGTCTCGTTCTAGAAGGTTCTTTGTT